GGTGACCGCTGGCATATGCTTCATTTGACCTGGCCCAGGCCCCCAGTTTTGAGATGGATTTGTGGCCTGAGTGAGCTCCCCAGTGCCAGCCTTGGGCTGTCAGCTTGGCCCAAATGAATCTAGTTTCAGTGGTGACTTAGTGCTGTATTTTCCAGACAGGCTGAAGCAAATTCCTCTCCATATGCCAAGCAGCAGTATTTTACCTGCTGCCTGTGCAGTGCGCGCTCGCCTAGGGTAGGTGCTGGACAGGGTGAGCTTTGTACACTGTTTTAGTAAGAGGCTGCCTGGCATTTAGCAGGTGCTGCAGAGCAGCTCTGAGCACGCTGCGAGCTTCGGCATTAATTCCCAAATCCCGTTTCCGCGGCCTGTCCGCTGCAAAGGGAGGTGAAGCACAGGCAGAGCATGGCTCCCCCGTGTTACTTACGGAGCAGCTGCACTGCGCGCACTGGTTCGCTTGCCGGTTCTGGAAGAGCCCCTCGGCCACAAACATTTCGCCATGGTGGTAGGTGGTACCGTTGTACTCGCAGGATTTGCCCGTGATTTTGCTGCTCACTGAGAAAAGGGAGTCTTCTGGAAGCAATGGGAAAGGAGCACTTCATGTTCATGACAGTTAGCAGTATCACGAGTACAGGGAAGGAAAAGCATCGTGTCTCCATTTACCTTACTTCTCAGGAAAGGACAGGTTTGTCATGCTACGAAGTAAAAGTGACTTTCTTAAGCTGCTTTTTTGCTCAACTTCAATAATTCTTGCTTAAAGAGAAGTGTCTTAGGATTTCTATGATCAGCTGCAGTGCCAGCATTGAGGGCTCATGCAGCTGCATTTCCTCTTGCCCTCTTACGGCACTGATGCCTTCCAGGGTAGACAAGTGCAGTTATGTGCCCACTTGTTACCTTCATATTTTTTTAAAGCCACCCAAAAGTTTCTGTTTCTCCTCTGTGTGTGTGAGTAGCAGCTGTGCAGATCAGCACCCGCTGTTTGCAGAACGCAGCGCCCAGGACGGAGTGCCCAAGGTGACAACGTCAGTTCAACTCTGAAACCTGCTTGGCACCACAGGGGTCAGAATTTCTTTTACAACCTAAAGCCATCCACACCTTATGGTAGAACATCCCCTGCACCGTTTTAACTATTACCAGTTGACACACTGTGCAGAGAAATTAATTTCAGCTATAAAACGTGAGCCACTGATTCTTACTAGGCTATGATTCTGGCACTATGCATTTACATTCACATGAATTCAGCATGGGAAGAGGCACTTGGAACAAGGGCTCCATGGAAGTAACAGTGGGGTGTTTGTTCTCTGGAGCCAGAATCACTGCAGATTTTTAGGAATTAAGCTGAAATTTTTAGTGAGATGGGCCTTCATGTAAAAGAAGCCTGACCTGAAAAAACAGGTTTTGCTGCATCCACTTTCCTGTCTATCAGATAACCATGGGGAGATCTTTCTGTGAAATTATGCTGCCAGAGAATTCAAGCTTTTCAGCTGAGGGCTCAAGCAAAAGAGCAGAAGCTTTCTGATGATAAGCACTGCTGTTTGAGGCAGATATTCAGAGCTTTCCATAAGAGCATTTTTGCATGTTGGCACCATCGAATATTAATAATCTTTTCAATGGTAAATGTCAAATCTGACTGCGAAGCACATGCATCCGACAGTGTTTGAAGGTCTAGTTAGGTTAGCAGAGCAGCAGCAGAAGTGAAGTGGGCCATTTAGGGCTCCTTCACTGGCATTTCCTTTCTCTTCAGAGGACAGACACAGTCTTTGCACCTTTGAGTGACCAGAGATGGCCTTATTTCAGTGCAATTACAGAAGTCCATCGACGCCTTTACAAAATCTTGTGAAGAATGCAAGGCCTGTGCTTGGCACAGCAGTGCGGTGCTTTCAACATGTTCTGTATGTTCTAGCAGTAATACACATCGTGGACGGGCAGGCTGTATGCACTCATTAAGACATATCTTGTGTAAATCATCAGCAAGAGATTCAAGTGAGAAACTCAGCTACTGTCACATTAGGCATGGATATTGGAAACCATGGATAAAGAGGCGCTTCTCAGACTCTGCCTCCTCCAGAGAGTTGTCGCCACAGTTCCATGGGCCTTCTGGAGATCACCTCACAGGAAGCAGAAAGAGACTGCCAAACCCCTGGTTATCCCCTTGCACCCCAGGCAATTGGAAGAGCAGTAGAACTGGAAGGGGAATGAAAGCAGAAATGAAAGGGGGATATGGAGGGTTCTTGCCTGTTGAGGGCCTGTTAGCGCCTCTGCAGGGCACTGCCTGTGTGCAGTACCTGCCCGACAGCAGCCGACGGTGTTTGGCCCATGCTTGCCAAGACCAGTGCTTGAAAGACTCATCTGGACTTTTCAGAGAATTTGGTGAAGAGTGTACGTTTTACTGCAGATTTACCTTGGTATGCAACATTCCTCAATTAAATTCCTATGAAATCTCCAAATGCCTTTGAATTGTTGATTCTAAATATGGAAGAAGGATGGTGAGATTTTTGTTTACATGATGTTTCTACTTTTACTCCGACATCCATGGAGTTGTTGAACTACTGCAGTGCTCCTACAGGACCCCAGGCAGCCGGAGATTAGCCCCAGCATACCACAGCCGAGACGGGACACGCGGGCTGCGACGCGACCACCGCTGCCTTTCCAGCTCCAAGGAAGGAAGGAATGTGGCTGAGGGAGGAAGCCGATGTTCCTGTACAGCCAGTGCTCCCTCTGATTCTCATTTCTGCCTTGGCTTCCAGCACTGCCAGGTTAAGCAATCATCATATCTCCTAACCTGCTTAAAAAGAAGATGCTTTTGGTTGCTGCGTTATCTGTGGAGGAAGAGGCTAGGCAGCAATCAGGTAGCTTGCTCTGCACCAGCTCAGGCCAGCAGCTGCAGTATTGTTTGCTTAATGGTAGGGCCTGCATAACAAATAGGTGGTCTCCTTGATAACCATAGTTTTCTCTCTGAGACCCTTGTAGGTCTCATGGAGCAGGGATAGGAAACTAAGTGAATGTGTCAGAAACGTGTCTGCAGACGATGCAGGCTGGCCGTCTGGGATCAGCAGAGGATTAGGAGGAACATAACGTAATTGCGAGAGTGAATTTTCTAAATGACACTTCAGATGGAAATGGGATTATTTGTCCCAAGAAGATCTTTTCGTAGCAAAAGTATCATCAAGGGACTGTGCCTCATCCAACTCTGCTGCAGATGCTAGTGAAGAAAGGCTTTCATTTTAAATGAAGCCACTAAAATGTTCTTTGACCATGCAACCCTGTAGCAGATAGTTTTTCTCGCCTATATTTGTTTTGAATTTAATCATAGACATTAGGTCTAAAACAGATAAATTATAACATATAGCCCAAGACACCTGCCTATCATGGGAAAAATGGGACTGAATTCTATCAGTGCTTTCATGTAATGCCTATTCTGTCACTGCTTAGGTGATGTATTGACTACAACCAAAATCATTTTCTACCATCAGCTTTAGGTCCTGATGCAGCACATACCTGTGCAAATGATAATCTTTTAGCACCTAACTGAATAGTGTTATTTGAGTACATAAAATAATGTTTGAAAGAAGGTTTCAGAATCAAGATCTCCTTACTGTTATTGCAAGAAAATACATACCATCATATACTGGGGACAGCATATTAAAAAGTACAGTTGATCCTCTGCAAACGAAGTATCTGTGTAGAATTGGAATGAAGCTGTATTTATACTGTATATCTATATATAATTTCTGTCTGGTACAATTTTTCTTTCTCTTTCTGTCTTTGCTAGTTTATTGTTGCCTTCCTACAGTGAGCATTTGCCTTTTTTTTTTTCTAGTGCTCTTTAAATCATACCTAATTAGAGGACTTCAGACTCCCTCATGATATCATGTTCTCCTGCAGAATGTGAAATTAGAGTGATTGTGGATTGTTTTAGCAAGGGCCAGGTTTCAACTTTGAAAAATCTTGGCATTAAGTTCATATCAGCATGCAGTATTTTGAACTGCAGTTATGTTAGAATCAGATTAATTAACTACAAATATACTGCACTACTCAAAGGGCCTGTTGGTAAACCTTATTTCCTAATGAGTGTTGTTCCCAAAGCTTTATCTGGCATTTTAATGGTGCCGAATAACATTGCTTTAATTTGCCGCCTATGCAAAGTACCAGACAAACCATCTGTGCGAATCCTTTTAATTAACAGGGTTCAATCTGAGCTTTTGTTTTTGCCATTCACAGCATGTCAGTGGAAGCAATATAAAATGTATAGGGAAAAGATAATGTAGCATCAATGGAAAAGGAAGCAGCCTTGTTTCTGAGGTTGATATTTATTCTCTAAGGGCTCAGACTTCACTACAGAAGATGATCAGTGATGCTTACTTACATTTCTTGTGATTTTAGGAGGATCAGGATAACACCATGAGTTAGCAATAGCACTGATTTATCCAAAACATCAGCATTAGGTAGTGCCAAGGGGCTAAGATGTGCAACCTCAGCTTAGCACGTGACTTACTCTGGATTTGAACTTAGCCTGTAAGTAGCTTTAAAGATTGAACATGGATGAAGGAGTGTTTCAGATTTTACCAACAGGCAACAAAAGACAACTGTATCAAGGATGTGTTTAGTTTCAAATAATCTTTAAGATCCATTGGAGACTATAGCTACTATAACTGAATTGCTTGGATACAAGCATTTTTCTCTTCCAAACCTGGGATTTTGCCCACTGCTAGTCTACACAGGCTTTTTTTTTTTTCACTGATTTTTACCATATGATCAGATAAATCCTGGCCTTAATGAAGTCAATAGGAAGATTCCATTCTGGATTCAGTCTAGGTTCCTGCTGTAATTCTCTTTGCTTAGGATGTGTAACTGGAAGGTTATCCGAGGAGAAACTACTGATCTGGACAAGCAAGATTCATATCAGTTCAGATCTACAGTACAATCTGATATGAAAATTCTCCTGAAATAGAATTGCATATTCCTATATTTCACTTATCCCGTGAACTATAGTCTCTTTGACAGAGGGTGCGGAGAAATAGTATGGCAAAAAGCTGACCATAAAGGGATGCTAACTCAGAGTGAAGTGGCAGCAGGTGCTGTGCTAATGCTTTCCTGATAGTTTCTGACAAAACAGTGCTAGATATGGATTTAATAAATAGGTGTTTTATGGAAATATGGAGTTTCCTCAGATTTTTCCACTGAATTTTCGTGGAAACCTGCCTGGTTCGTCATGAGCTAGAGGTTTCCATGGTCCAAGGCTCTGAAGGGCCTAGGACCCATGGTTTCTGGAGCTTTCAGGATGCCAGTGATGCCGAGTTCATGGATCACAGTCAGTTTCACAAACACCATCATTCATCTTCTTCTGTTTATAACTGTATTCCTTCCTAGATTCTTATAAAAGCTTGTTCCTGAGATGCTTTACCCTTACTTGGAAATGGAGCAGAAAAGCAGGAGTTATCTGCAACTAATCCCTTGAACAGCTGAGAGAAATTCCACTGGCAGATCCTGGTGTTTGAAACAGTGATAACTCCTGCAAAAGTATTTCTGTGCAGAGAGGAGAAAACAGTAACTGGCTAAGGGCAAACCAGCTT